AGGTAGAACGGGTGGGGAGGAACGGGGCGGAGACATGACAGGGGAGCAAGAGCTGTCCTCTAGGTGTTGGACCAAGCGGCTGCGGCTGCTGCTGCTGCTGCTGCTGCTGCTGCTGCTGCTGCTGCTGCTGCTGCTGCTGCTGCTGCTGCTGCTGCTGCCGGGACTGCAACCTGATGGTGCTGACTGTGTCGTGCGGACACCCCTGGCCGCTTGTGGTGGAGATGGCTCAGATGTGAAACTCCTGTTACCGCAGCCCTTCTCGAATCCGCGCGCGGCGCGCCCGAGGCCAGCCGCCCGGCTGCCCCACCAACCGCCTTGCCTCTGCCCCGCAGCCAAACCCCCATCCTTGCCTACGCCTGCGCCAGCGCCTCCCCTAAGGCGCAGATCCGCCCTCCCCAGGACAGTGGCCACCCACCGGCTGCTGCCCCCAACCACGCCCGTCCACCTGCCAGGAGTGCGCCAGCCCCCGCACGTCCCTGGCGCCGCGCGCAAGCCGTCCTCGCAGCCGCGCCCCGGGCACGGCCGCCCCCCGCCGGCCCAAGCCGACCAGCGCTGGCCAACCACCACGACATGCTAAGCCTTGTTATGCGTCCACAAACGCCTCGTGGCTCAGGAATGTGTACACCAACAATCACGCCCGCCCACCTGCTTGAGCCGCGCCAGCACCTGGACGTCGCTGACGCGCGTGAACCGCACAATGGCGCAGCGGCTCTGGATCGGCTCGATGACCTGCCGTTTTTTATTTTGGGGGGGCGGGTCAGAACAGGGGGTGGGACGGAGCGTTCAGGGTTTGTGGAGGGAGACCGTGCTCCTGTGTTGCAGGACGCGCGCTTTCCAGGCGCGAATGTGTGGGGGTGAAGTGTTGCAGTGGGGGATCGCCGAGGGCCTGTCCAGCTCCGTTCGCGCTTGAGCATGCGTTCATCAGAGTGTGTCAGCGACTGACTTGGCGGGCGGACCAGTCGCCGGTGAAGGGCTTGGGTAAGGGGGCCGGGCTGCGTCACATATCCCATTTGCGACGGCCTGCGGGCATTGGCAGATTACTCGGCCTGCTTCATTGGCCCCACCTTGCTGCTGGTGTTGCAGGCCAGCGCAAAACGCGTTGTGTTGGAGTAAATCTCCATCGTACGGCGCAGCGCCTGCTGGGCGCCCCCTGTCATGCTGGGGGTGGGTGGGGCCGAGGGGGTGGCACCGGGCAGGGAGGTCGCAGGGAGGGCCACATGAGCACGAGGGGCCTGATAAGCACCAGGGACCTGCCCAGTCTTTAATAAGGTGGCGTTTCAGAGCGATGCAAGGACAGAGTGCCGCCCCCATGATCTTAATTCAGCATGCAGAAGCAATCGCGAAATCAAAAACGGGGCCGACAGCTCGCCCTACCTATCGGCCTCGTCGAGGATGACAATCTTGTGGCGGCCTGGCGGCAGGGTGACCTTCTTCTGCGCAAACATCTTGATTTTGTTGCGCACCACGTCGATGCCCCTGCGCATAGTGAGCGGTTGAGCGCGTGCGGTCGGGTCGCCGGCGTTCACAGGCTGCGAGCGAAACACGCGACCCCGCCAGCGGCCGCGTCGCGGAGCTCGATCCTGAGACCTTGGGGGCGACTGGCAGCTGCTGCTGAAACAAGCGCGCGGCGACTGCAGCCCGGGAGCGGCGGCGCGAGCGATGCGAGGCCGTCCCCGCCGTTGCCAGCGCCGCGCTGGCCGCGGGCCCGCGTCGTGCGCGCGGTGGGCCTGGGTGCCGCGGGCCGTGTCCCCAGGCCATGCGCGCCTGTCGTCCGAGGCGTTGAGCTCCAGCACCGCCTCCTTGAAGTTCGGCCCCAGCAGCTGGTGGGACAGCGCCAGGATGGACGTCGTCTTGCCAGTGCCAGGGGGCCCCTGCGGCGTGGGACGATGGCCCGATTGGCGGGTGGTTGGAGCCAAGGACTGGACCAAGCGCGCGGCAATCGCCTGCGTCGTAGCAGCAGTCTGGTCCCTTGAGGCACGCGGCTGGTGCACCTGAGAACCCGTAACCGCTGGCAGTGGGTGGGGATCCAGCAGCGACGCAGGATGAAGCCACCGGCAGCTGCTCTCCAGCGGTGCAGTTCTATTGAGACACCTCTGCGCAGCCAAGAGCATCGGGCAGCAACATAGAATCCCCAGCCCCTTGCCTAGCACAGCACCATGTACCCGCTGCCTGGACCACCATCCCCCAACTCATCAACGAAGTCCCTGTCCAGATGCTGTGGCCTTGGATTCATCAGCTTTCCCGCAGTATTCCCCTCCCCCTGTCCCAAAACACACCGCCAGGATGATGTTGGGCATATTGCCCTCCTCAGCTATGACCTTGAGCCTCGAGACAGCCTCCTCGTTTCCCACCACGTCCCTTATGTTGCTGGGACGGTACTTTTCCACCTGCAACGCGGCGCCGGCCATTGCATCACAAGACGAGGTGCAGCGGGCGTGCGGGTCGGGGCACACAGGGGCTACTTTGGGGCCACGGTGGCGGTGGCGGCAGAGGGCTCATATACACAGCGCATTATTGTTATGCTTTTGGATGCGGTGTCACCGGATGCAGCTACCAGGCCTTCCAGCGGCATGACGGTGGCGTTCCCGGCAGCTGTGCAGCAGGAAATGGTGGAGTGCGCAGCGGGACCGCACGGCCGATGCAAGGCAGCGCTCAGGGCACGCACCCATGGTAGGTCATAATTCCTAGAATGTGATCCCTCCTGCTTCGCGGGCTTGTCCACGTCCATCTTCGCGGCGGTGTCTGGTGTCGCTGCCATGATGCCCTCAACCCTGCCTGCAGCTGTTCAAGTCCTCGATTAGACCACCAACAACAAATATTTTGATGAATCCCTCTGGAAGAAGCTAGTGTGATCTGCTGGCGCCAAAGCGTGATCTCAGCGATAGCATATATGTGTCTGGATGCTACTGTGGATTGTACCTGCGGCACATCCTTCGCCTTGCTCTCCACCGGGCAATCTAATGAGCTAGGAGCAGCATGAAATATGGGACTCCCCCAAAATCGGGCGCCGCTGCGTGTTTGCATCTGCGCCACCAGCATTCAATTGTTTCCATCATAGGTGAATGTGCCTGATGCGGCCGTGAACTTTCACCAGGATTGTACATACAGGCCGTTTATCACACACACATCCCACGTGCTTGCTTTTCATTGCTTGTTTCCTGGCCACTCTGACTGAAGATGGCGGTCGGGCACAGACGCATTGCACCAATGCATCAGGCTCGCCTTCATTGAACTTGGCCTGATAGGCATGCTCGGCTAGTAGGCTTGGTTTGATGAAGTGAATGAAGGCCGCGCTAACGGCCTGTGGGGCTCAGCGCAGGCTGACAATGCGCAGAAGCTGGGGCCACGCACAGGAGCGAGAGAGGGGTAATCCTGTTGGACCCTGTGCCACCTCCTTCCACAGCACCTGTATCAGGCAGCAACGCGGACTCCGATAGTGCGTCTGAGCAAAGCACTGGGGGCGATATAACGCAGCAACCGCCACCTGTACTGGATATACTACCTGACTTGATTACTCCCGACCACCTCGGTGGTGCGTGCTGTCTGCAACATCCAGCGAGGACCGGTCGCAGCGCGCCGTCCGGGGCATTGCCTCTAAGAGAACGGCAGCCTGCTTGGGTCGCCACAGCTGAGGTCCCCGCCGGGCCTCGACTCTCGGCGACCTGCATCAAAAGGAATTTAGCCTGTACCAACTCCTCGTCGTCGAGGCTTGCACCTCGGACGGAGTCTATTGACGTTGGGGCTACTATTTGTAGTACTGCTGCGGGCTGCGAGGCCATTAGTTGGCAACGACGTGCTCTGGCGGTACAAACCAGGCGGCATCCACCGGCAGCATGCACATGCACTTGGGAAGAAACGGGTGAAACCCGGCGTGCACTTGGCATGCCTTGGGGCTCCATTGACAAGCAACTGAAAACGTCATGGCTGAGCAGAACGGCTCCACTCAGTGGTCGCTGTGCAGAATGCGTGGCTGAGCCTGCCGCACAGCCGCAGCCTGCTGCCACCAACACGAATCTCTAGGCACAATCACTGATAAACCGGCAGGACACTTCGGTGTGACAGGTGTGGCCATGCCCTACTTTTCAGGAGCCGCCGGCAGGTCCTGCTATCCTGTCATCCAGACAGCATTCAAGCCTATGAAGACGGGAATGTGCAGAGCCGGTGCGTTTTCTACATTTGTGAGCATGCAGCATTGCGTGTGCTAGCAAAGTGTCAGTCAGCCCAGCAAAGGCGATTGCTTTCCCAACCAGACGCAGCATGGCTGCACACCTGGTGCAGGACCATGTGGGACGCTGGTGACAGCCACTCATTTCAGCACGTTTGCTCATTGCAAAAAGCCAACAGCTGGTGCTGGGAGGGAGTGTATGACCACAGGGTGATACGACCGCACCTCAGGTCGAGGTAGCCGTGGCCTGGCCCCGGCGGCGGGGCACTCACACCCATGACTAAAGGCCACATGTCGTTTTGCCATGCAGGCTGCAGTGCTGAAACAGGAGTCAGGAATTCATGCGAGTGCAAAACGCGCGTGGCGGCCGCAGTGCACCACAGGATCAGCCTCCGAGGGAGATCGCGAAACAGGCAAACAGCCGCACGCTGAGCAGCCTTGCGTTGGGCATTTTGAAGATGAATATAATTTTTTAAAAAATGAGTACCAGAAAGCAACCCCCAGTAAGGCCTCAGGCTGCGGGCTTCGATCATCTCTGTGCACACAAAGTTGTTGATACGGTAGTGCATGCTTGAATATGACAAACAACGTTACCTTTTAGTACATGATTGATCGCAATGCCCTTCAATTGATACGCAAGCGGCGGTCACCATCCAGCGGTCTCATCATTGTCAATAAGCAGTCCAACGCGCTTCAACGGCCCACAGCAGCATGAACGGTGTCAAAACGGGAACTTTTTTGGTTGGAGGCGTCCCAAGTTCAACCGCGCTGCTGGTATTTGCCACGTCAGAAGACGCGCGACTGCAAGAACTGCTGCGGCGCCAGTGCCCCGCGTCCCCTTGCTCCCTGCAGGCGCTGTGGGTGACGCGAAGCGAAGCTCACCAGCTGCTTCATGTGTGTGAAACTGCGGTGCCTGCTGGTTGCCACTGGCCAGAGGCGCCGCTGGACGGCGCGGTGATTGCCTACCGAAACGGCAGCACAGCCGCTCCACGCGTCAGCCGTGTAGTTTCGGCTAGAAGAGCAGGCGATGGTGGCAGTGCTTGGGTGCTTATTGCCGAATGCGGCGATGCAATCCCAATGGATTGCCTGGAGACGGGAACGGCGCCGCTGTGGCATGACGCCTGGGCAGCCGCATGGGGGGAAGCAGCAGCGAGTTGCAAGCAGATGGGCTCTGTGCTGGAGGTGAGGCCTTCGGAACCCATGTGAATGGGGCAAGTCTGGTTGTACATATGAAAAGATCAGGCAGGCAAGTGCAGGGCAAAGAGGTCCAGGCATGCACAAGTGCCGGGCACGTCGCACTGCCGCAGCTGTTGCTAGCTTTCAAATGTGTTGGCATGCCTTAAACTTGAACGACTAAAGTTCCTATGCCGATACCCTGCAACACATCTCAGGTGCTTTCCGTGATGCTGCGGCTTCACCGCATGACGACTGCTGGCGCCCTGACTCTGGGACCCGCGCTTATCGCCGCCCTCAGCCAGCCGCCAGCAGCCGCAAAGGTGCATGAGATGGCGCGGCTGGTGTTGGGAGGCGTGGCCGTCAGCAAAGGCCTGCCCTACGGCGCCGTCAGCAGAGCCGCCGGCGACGGGAGGCGTGCCTCAGCTGAGGAGGGCGAAGTGTGTGGGCGGGCCGACGGTAGCGGCAGGGTGGAAAGCCACGGCAGCAGCAGCCGCGGGGACACAGGCAGCAACGACAGGGGTGCCGATGAGGTTGCAAGCCGCAGCAGTACTGAACGGAGTATGGGGTCAGACCGCAGTGGCAGAAGGGGCAGGAGCCACAGCAGAAGCAGAGAAGGCAGTGGTGTCAGCAAAGGCGCAAGGGAAAGGAGCAGGAGCCCCCGGAGCCAGAGCCGGGGGTCAAGTGGCAGCCAGGGCAGAGCCGACGGCAACAGCTTTGGGGGGAGCCGCAGCGAAGACGCGCGGGGAGAAGCACAGCTGCAGCAGTGCGCCCCGCCGTCGCCGCGACGGCCGCTGGCGGCCGCGGCTCGCAAACGCATCACGTGGCCGGATGCGGACCGAAAGCCGCAACAGACCGAGCCCCTCGCTGCAGCCGCAACGCCGGTGCCGCCGGCGCTGCCGTTTGATCGCCAGCAGCAGCAGCCAGGCGCAGGCCTGTTCGTGCCCAGCCCGTCCCTGGCGCAGCGCGTGCTGGCGCCGTTTGCAGAGCTGCCGCTTGGTGCGATGCAGGAAGAAATCGGAGACCCCCGGAAGCTGCGGGAGCTGTGCGGCATGGCAGTGCTGGTGGGCCGGCAGCGTGGAGGTTGGGTGGTGGGTGTAGGATACATAAACAGCAGAGCCGTGCGAGTGTGTGCATGTTTGTGTGCGTATTCGTGTGTGTTCAAGTGGGCACGCTATCAGCGAGCACATGGCGCCTGCAATGTGAGGTGTCAATTGGTGTGCTGGCTGTACTTGTGCGTCGGGTTCCATGCACGGGGGTGCCCCAGGACATGTCCCGAGGTGGCATGCTCTCTCTCTCTCTCACACACGCTCGCACTCCACCGCACACACGCCCCACCGTAGTGGAGCCACCTGCGCCAGCGGCCCGCGTGGACGCCCGCCGACGGCGGCCACCCGTGGTCGGGGCTGGAAGGCTTGGACGTGCCCCGCTGCTTCTGGGTCCAGGGCGCGACCGACGCCGGCGTGAGGCCGGTGCTGCAGTCCCTGAAAGACGCCATGCCCCTGAGGCTGGGAACGCGGGGCAACACCGCCAGCCTGCACGAGGATTTCGTGAGTGGCGGCGGCTGCGGGGCGCGGAGACGGGGGGTGGCGCCATGCTGCGGGGCGGGCCTTGGCCGCTTATGCAAACGACCTGCTTGGGAGGGATGGCCTCAGGGCCGGCGTCGCCCTCACCAACGCCGCCCCATACGATCGCATGCACACCCGCACTCACGTACACACACACACACACACACACACACACACACACACACACACACTGACGCACACACCGATGAGCAAACACCAACACTGGCTTGCTGCACCGCGTTGGTGATGCAGGCCGGCAAGTGCGTGAGGCACTGGTACCTGGACGACCGCCTCGCCAGGATTGAGGCGCACCTGTCAGACCGCATCGCCGCGCTCAGGCGCACCTCAAGCGCGCCCGCGGCCGCCGCTCGCGCGCTCCCGCTGCGCGACGCATTACAGGAAGCTGTCGAGCAGCTGCCCGGCTTGGGGCGGATCTGCCTGCCGATGTACACCTCTGTGAGTGGGACCAGTCCTGCGTGCGGGGGTGAAGGGGTTGTCAGTGGGCACATCCATCACATCGCCAGGCTTGCCCGACGGCCCCGCAGCCCCACGTAAACGCCACGCTCATCAACAACGGACAGGGTCGCATGTACGCATGTTTTTTCTGCCGTTCCACATGATGCCCTGGCTTTGTGAAATGCCATCGCAGCCCTGGCCAAGCAGCAATAGCCCGGTCACCCCGTTCAGCACATTGCCTCGGGCTCGCAGGTATCCACTTGTCCCTTGTTGACAAACGCCACCCCTCGCCGGCCCCACCTGCAATGAAACGCAGCTCTTCAGCCACCCGTCTGACTTTGTTGAGGCAGCCATGCAGGACTGGGAGGCGGTCCCCGGCCACCCCGACGGCGACAGCCAAGGCTGGGCGCTCTGGCCCCTGGCGGCGGCGACGGACGACGGGGGGCCGGGCGCCGCGCCTGCTGCTGGGCAAGCCGGCGCGCACGGGCATGACGGCAGAGGCAGCTTTGGCGGTCGCGGCATGGGGGACTTTGGCGACGATGGGCGTAGCTGGGGAAGCCTCGCATACCAACACCATCCGTCGTGTCACCGGAATTTCCAGCATTCGCATGGGCCGGGGCCGCTGGTGCCCATTGTTATGCCAAGAGCGGGCCTGCAGCCAGGGTGGAGCGGCCGCGCGGGGCAGTGGGGCGCCCCAATGTGAGCTGGCCGGGCGCCTGGTTATTGCGGTGGTCTGCCTTACTGTCCACACATGCGTCCGTCCGGCACCCATTGGACGGCGTTCCTCGAGTGGGGCATGCAGGTGCGCAATCACATTTGTGGAGCCTCGTGTTGATGCATCACTGGAGTTGAGAGTAACCAGGCACATGCGACCTGCCTGCCGATGGTGCTTCGTACCTTTTGATATGTCTGGCCAGGGTCCACGGTGGGGACGTGTATTTGATGATTCCCAGGTAATAAGCAGTTGACCCGAGCTGAACAAGCACGATGCTCTTCTGCTATCTGTATGCAGGCGCCGCATTCGGAGCCCTCAGTGTAACAGCTCCTGATACCTTGACACACTCCCTTGGGTCGGTCTGGAAAAGTGTGCAGCGGTGGGCGCGTGCTGAACCTTATTACTCACCCAGAGCGCACCCCACCACACGGCACTTGGAGGCTCTGGGGCAAGTCCAATTTCGCAATGCAGCATTCCGTCGATGGATATGCATCCGTAGGCTTGTATCAATGTATATGAGGATATTCGTGCATTCAATAGACAACGCACAAGGCATTCACGTCGGAACGCAAAGATCACAGACTGTGCGACGCACTAGGAACTCAATAAGACGGGAATACTCAACACATGTTTTTTACCCGCGTGGGTCTGCATTGCAGTTGATCTCCACAGCGCCAATCGGGCTTGGGCAGCGGCCTCGCTTCAGCACTCTTCGCCATCTGCAGCATGGCAGGACGTGTGGGGCTGCTGCTGGCGATCCTGGCGGTCCACCTGGCTGAAGCTTCCGCCGCGGACGCCCCGGCAGCGTCCCCCGCCCCCGCTGCGGCGGGTAAGGACCTGCCGCCTCTGATCAGCCACCGCCCCGGCGACGTGCGCGTGCTGCTGCTGACGGACTGCGCCAAGTACCAAGACTGGCAGACGATCGCGGGCGCGTATGCGTGGCGCGAGTCGGGGCAGCCGGGCGGCTTCACGCGAGTCGCCAACTGCGACGAGAAGGACCGGAAGAACTATCCCAAAGCCATGCTGGATTACGTAGACACCCATATGGCGCCCATGGTGCGGTTTACAAAGAGTCTGTGGCGTCCCAGACGCCTCCGCTTTCGACTCACGGCTCAGTTCCGGCCCACATGACGGCAGACGCGCAACGCGGCCCTCCCGTCGCGCGCGGCGCACGAGGCGGCCGCATGCGCGCGCCCCGACGCCACCACATGCCCGCCGCGCCGCGGCCCGCGCCCGCAGGCTGCCATGAACAAGGAGCTGAACGACTGGTACCAGGCCTACAACAAGCCCAAGGCGGTCAGCGACTGGCTGGAGCACAACCCCCACCCCAAGGAAAAATGGATCCTGCTGATCGACGCGGACATGCTGCTGCGGCGGCCGTTTTTGCCGGAGGAGTTCAACCTGACAAAGGGCTGGGCCATGGCGGCGCACTACGACTACATGAAGGTATGCAGGGGCCGCTGGCGGGGCTCCGCCCTCGCGGCGGGCGCTGCGACCGCGGGCCGGGGTGGGGCGTGACGTGTGCGGGGTCGCGGGCGCCGCTCTGCGCCGCGTGCGCGTGTGCCCTTGGAAAACGGCGCGCCGGCGCTGGCGAGGAGCCCGGATCACCTTTGGTTGAGCGGTCGCTGAGAAGCGCCTGCGGCCGCGGCGGCGCGCGGCAGCGGGTGGAGGGCGGCGGCGGGGGCAGCCGCAGCGCTCGTGGAGTTAGCCTGCGGCTGGCTGTCCCGACACACTTGCCGCCTGACGCACCTGCCAGCCCCGCGTCTGGCGCGCCCTCAACGCCGTCGCAAAGGGTCCTCAGCGCAGCACTGATCCACGCCCTTCAGCAAACCTTTACCCACCTATGAAAACACAAAACGTAACCCCAGGGCGTGCACAATGATTTGGCGATGCGCCACGTTCCCGAGATGATCCCTCACAACGACACGCTGGCCGGCCCCCCCGGCCGGCGCGGCGACGTAGTCGGGGCGCCCTACTTCATGAGCATGGAGGACATAAGGAAGGTGGCGCCCCTGTGGTATGACTACACGGTCAAAGTCAGGAACGACTCGCTGGTGGGCGGCCGGGGGAGGCGCTAGGGGGAGGGTGGCGGGGCTGCGTGGGTCGGCGGGGTACCGAAACACACCTGTGGCCGGGCTGGGGCTGGGGCAGCATCGTCGCCGCCGCCGCCTTGCCGCCGGGCTCGGTACGGATGTGTCGTCGGTATCGACAGGGTGCACAGCGGCTGGTTGGACAGGGGGAGGTGCGGCCGGCGGCCTCCCCTGCGCCGGCGCGGGCGGCCGCCGCGCAGCCGGCGCGGCCACCAGCCGGCGCGTCGCGGCGGCCGGCGGCCGTGGCAAGCGGCCGGCCCTGCACCTTATGCGCGCCGTACCCCAATCACGCCACTCATATGAATCTGGCTGCGCCCCGGCAGGCCTACAAGGACTCTGGGGACACGGCGTCCCAAAAGGGCGGGCGCATCTGGATCGCAGAAATGTGAGCACCCCCCCTCGCGCCGCCGCGGGGCGGCGGCCCAGCGCGCCGACGCGGCCGGGCCACCCGCTCGCCCCGCGCGGGGCGGCGCCCCCGCACGCTTGGGCGGCCGGCCCCCCTTCGCGTCGCCCCGCGGACGCCGAGTTTCCGCGGCGCTCTGCGTTCTGCCTCTTCTCGGCCATGCCGGCACCCCCAACCCGCGGCCCGGCTGCGGGCGGTGGCGTGTCCGCCCCACTCCGCGCCCACGCAACGGCGACGGCCACCCCCTGAATCCCTCTCCTCAAAGACACACACACACGTATATATATATACACAAATACGCATATACACACACACACACACATGCACACATACACACACCTGAAAGGTACGGCTACACGTTTGGGGCTGCCAAGGCGGGCATCTGGCACCGCTGGAGCGAAGACTTCATGCTGTACCCCGGCTACACACCGCCATGTGAGACCCTCGTCAAGTATCGGGGGCACCCGGGGGGGGGGGGTGTGGACGAGGCCGCCGCTCTGGCCGTCACACAAGGCGCCTCCACCCGCCGCCGTGTGCCGGACGCGACTGCCCCGCACGCGCCGTTTTTGGGGGGCTCGTCCTTGCGCTGACGCAGCCTGACTTCCCGGCTTGTTCTCACGGCGCCCTCCCCCCTGGCCTGTCTGGCTCTGGGCCTGTCCTTGCAGTCATCCCGCGCAACATTCACAACGGGCTGCACTACACAGTGGGCGACTGGTGAGTGTGCAGAAGGCTGCTCATATGTGTGTGTGAACGCGCATGCATGCGCGCACGCGCGCGCGTGCGCGCGTGTGTGTGTTTGTGTGGGTGGGTGGGTGGGTTGGTGTGTGGGTGTGTGTGTGAGTGAGTGTTCGTGCCCGCGCATACCCATAGGTGTGCGCGTGTGCCTTGGTCCATTCAAGCCTGCGCATGCGCTGCGCCTGGGGATGTGGCGCTGTCTTGCCCTGCTTGTGCGTCGCGCAATGCCGCTTCTGCCGGCGCTTTTGTACAGAGTTGCAGGGGCTGGAAGGTTGGGCCACAGCAAGGGCTTCATCACTGCAGCATCGCCCATCAACAGGCTTACAGTTGCCTGGAGAGCCGCAACCCCCCACAACCGCGCAGCGCCCGACAAGCCCCTGACCCAACGAGTATCACGCTTGCACCCCTGCCAACGCCTCGCATATCACTTTTATACCTGCGCCATGCTGCCGCAACACAATACAGTAACCCACAAGTCGATGACACACCACACAGTCTTTAACGTCACTCACGATTCACACAAACAAGACACAACCACACAACCACACAACAGCACGAGCACATGAGCACTCCGATACAACTACCACTTCCACACCCGCACGCCCCCCCCCCCCAGGTCCTTTGACAAGCACTGGTACTTCGATTTCGACGTCCACAAGTGCCCCCCCTGGGACCTCTCAGTCCCCAAGCCCAAGGAGGGCATCTTCCCGCCGCCCCCGCACCCCAAGACCCTCAAATCAAAGGTGCGGCGCCGCCCAACCACATGCGTGCGGCGCCGTCAGACGACGCGTGCGGCGCCGCGCATGCACGCGTGCGGCGCTGCGCGCGCGCGTGTGCGGCGGCGTCCAGCCACGATTTCGGGATCGTGCTGTCTGGAGGGCGGTGGCGCGGCTGGGGGCCGTCCTTGTGGTCGGGCCCCCGGGCTGTGGCTGCCTTGGTGCTGTCGCCAGCAAGAGGCAGAGCAGGCTGTCACCTGGATGCACCGGCAGACGTGCGGGCGTGCACATGCGCGCGCACACACACACACACACACACACACACACACACACACGCACGCGCGCGCGCGCACACACACGCACTTCAGTGCGCGCCACACCTCTGCTTTTGACGCCAGGGGCGTCAACCCCCAACCCCACACCCTACCCCACAC